CCAGATGCACTCACGGCAAAACATGAGGACTCAGACTGGACATGTATTGGATATACATTCTGGTGGTTAAACCTAGAATAAAATATGAATCGGTGGACAAAGGTGCAACAAAGAAGAGCATTGTTGAAGCTATACAAGGTTCAAAGACTTGCTTGCCTCGTGCTATGAGAAGCCTTTCTCTCTTGAAGTAATAGAATGTAATGGGAGAATCGAGAATGGGGTTATATAGACTGCAAGGAAACGTAGACAATGTTTCAGCTAGATGAGGACATTGCAACATCATTAATATAACTGAGGATCACATATGAGATATGAAAATAGGTCATATAATCTCCAGATATAGCATCAAGATAACTTCTCACGTGGAGCTAACCACAAGCAATGTATGGAATGACCGAAGAAGTTAAACAAAATCTGCTGGCCACAACTGGTACACAGATGTGTCAAAAATGGAGTAGATGGTTTGGGAGCAGGAGTATACAGTGGTAATAGGAACAACTACAGTTCAGTACCGCTAAGAAAGCCCACATTTGTTTCCAGCTAGAGATCTATGCAATCCTGTATTATATAAAGATAAAAAGTATAAGGACTTGTGCAAATAAGCGGATCGATATCTATATAAATATCAGGTCATGCTGAAATCGACAAGATAGGTACTTTACTCCAGAACCAGTTAGCACAATATATTACCCAATTAAAGCCTAAATTCGGGAAAAACAAATAATACTGGAAACAAATTCCGTCACAAACTCATGAAAGTTTGAGTTTTTATAACTACGAATAGGGAGATGTAGAACTACGCAAAATAAACAAGAAGCGGCACAAAATCATAGCAAGTTTACTAGGTGAATATGTGCCAGTAAATGGACATCTGAATACGATGGAACTATACAACGGATATCTAAGCTGCAGATTATACAACAAATATGTCCAGACAGTCAGACATATTTTGTGAGACTGCGAGAGATTGGATCTCAGAAGACAAGCAGTATATGGAGAGTGTATACCAAGTTCAAATACATATGGTCAAAAGATCTCTACAAACTGGTGAGGGGTGAAAACATTTTTGGAATCGGTGTCGTAAATGAATAGGGAAGGTAAGCACAATAAGCCTAAAGGCTCCAGTATCACAGCCACATGCGTCGATACGGCTTCAAAAAGAAAAAAAAAACTGTTCTGGCTTTTATAATCACATTTGGAACTCTATCTCTTAGCATTATTTCCAACATAGACCACTCCATGCCTCACTGGTCTCTTTGATTTTTTCCATAGATTATTTAGTAGATACATAAGTGTTACTGCACCATAAATCAATGCTGAAAACACAGATTGTTTCAGTATTTTGTTTTTAGAAGCTGAACTTCTTCTGTCTTAGCATGATATCGTCTGCGAAGTGTACGTGGTTTAATCGTTCACCACCAATGTGCATTCCCATGTTCTTCCACTCATTCCACTGGGATTCTTCCAGCTTCTAAACATAAATTAAATACTTTTCTCGTGCTTTGATATTTTCGATATTATCTTCTCCTGAGGTTCCGTTGTTTTACGGACGACAATAGCATTCTGCTTAATCTTTTAGGCTTTAGATCTAGAAGATCATGCTTCAGACCTAGATAATTGAAAAAAAAGCTCGGTGATACAAGAGATTGGCATACTTTTGTTTTGTGGACCTAAAAAAAGGCTTTCGATGGGGTAAACTAAGTAATATCATGCATTTATTGTATACAACAAAGATACTGCTTAGTGTAATCAAAACGATCAATTATACTTATATAACAAAACAACACAATACAATTAAAAGTATAAGAACCAAACGATCCGAACGAAATTGACATTAAGTTAGGAAATGGAGATTCTTTGATTACCATTTAACATTACATGGATGAAATTATAAAAAAAAATAAAAAAATGATACCAAACTGGAAGAAAACATTTAAAATAATAATATGCTAGGCATGTGATACGACATTATCGCTAAAAGTAAAGACTAGTTCCAAAGTTATAAAAATTCCTAGGAGTAGGTATAAATTAAAAAATTCTTTAGAAATTTAAAGATCGTTTACGAACGTTAGTATAATTTCACTAAAAGCGTTGATTGAATAATCCAAATCCAATCCAATTTGGATTATTCAATCAACGCTAAAAGGGACACAAGTGTCGGAGAGTGTCAATATCTCACTGAGGTGCAAATTGGAGGTAAATGGTAGAAGTGATGATAGAGGTCAAATACCTGAGTATCACTCAGTGAAACATAGTGAATAGAAAAAAAAAGTCGCGGGATAAATATGAGGGAACAAACATATAAGGAAAAAAGTATAAAGCAGAATTTACAAGCAAGTGTTAGGCCAATAATGACTTATCTTGCGAAAATCCTACCGATCCAATATTAAGAACAGAGGAAACGCTGGAAATAGCAGAAATGAATTTATATATAAACATTTAGAGATAGGACCAGAAGAAAATTTGAAATAGAAAACATTATTGAATGGCCATACTAAAACAGGAATGAATATTTGGACCTAATGATTGAGCACATAGTAATAAAAATACCGAAAGATACTTCCAACTGGTAAGGCGATTACTGAGACGACTACGAAAACACTGGAACAATAATAAACTGGAGGCCCACTGAAAAATAGGTAGACTATATGACTTACAAAAGAATAAAAAGAAGGAGAATTTCGACAGATCTTCTAGAAATGACTGCTTATTTTTTGTTGGTGCAGTTTAATTTTATGATCTAATTTTATTTTATTTTGTTAGAATTTCTTAATAGCTATATTTAGATAAATGGTATCGATGTAAATCTATATATTATACAAAAAATTTTGTAATTATGAATATAATATAATCATATTTTATCTACAATTTTGTACATATTACGCTCTTGGAAAGAATTCAGACCGTCCCCTCATATTTTAGTTTTGACTACCAACATGAACCTACTAAGGCAATTTTTCATCTACAATTACGACCTATATTTTTTGTTAAAAGGACAACCAATAGTTTCAATAACTTAAAATAATATTATTTTTGCATATCGTTATAGACGAACACTATTATTAAACTAGATGAGCACATTCCCTTTCACCCTGTATTATACTAAATCCCACAAAACGCACAGTTGCCATACACACACACGACCAGATCAACACTCAATGCTGCCATGTTGAGAATGGCAATTATTAGTGTCGGTGGAATGTTTGGGTTAAGAGCTAGCGGGGAGTTGTAAGCATAACGGGTGAGAAGGGAGAATAAAAAGAGCGGGGGCAGAGCTCTCGCTTTGTGGGCTGGTCTTCCGACCGCTCGCCATTGGTCAGCCAAGGGATAAACGAGTTATCGATCTTACCAACGCCGGACCAGTGCTCTCACGAAGGATGAAGCACACGGATAATTACAAGGATGGGTTTTCTTTTCTCGAGAGGATGGCTTTCTAGGAAATTGAGTCGTGGAATTGTGTGGAATGAATTCTCGAGTGGTTGAATGTCGGTGATGAAGTGATCTGGGTCTTGAGAGTTTGTTATTTGCTACTTGATATTGATTAGGTTCCTAGAAATTGTTAAGCGTCTAGTTTTACTTTCACTGTGGAATGCCGTCGTTGAACTCATTTGGTTCAATTGTGACTGTGTACACACTTATTATCTACTATCTGCTAGATACACATTACAAAACTATGACTACATTTTAAATGGCGAAATGTACCTATTTATTTTATATTTTCAGGATAACTTAATTCTTAAATTTTAATTCCTTAATGTATTTTCAGTAACTGAACCCAGATAAATCCAATCTGGGTAGGTACGGTACATAAAAACAATTAAACAAAGACAGAAATTCAGTAATTTTTTTACAGCATGCCACCTAATATAATCCATAACATCCCAAATATTTTATATTCTTTAGTATTTATATTAAGTGGCAAGCCCATTATAAATTATATTTTGTATAATTGCACAGGGTAACAAGATAAGCCAAACGATCCAAATTTCAATATGATTGAAACAACTTACGGGAATAAATCAATTAATAATATGCACCTCGGTGGACAACACAATATTGGATGCACCTGGGATAGCTTACTATTAGGTGCTCAATATCCTCATAGGGTGTTTCGTTCCATTTCCCAATTAATATCTCCAGAAGTGTTGCCAAAGTTTTAGGAGGATGAGCTAAATTGAAAAGTCTTTTACCTATCATATCATATTAAGCCATAAGTGATGGCACCTTATACCATATCCCCAAAAGTGCGGTACAAAAAAACATTTGACAAAAAACTATAGAATTTGTCTTCCACCACTTCCCTTCTGACCATGGTTCGGCCATCATGCATCCCTAAACAGAATTGAGATTTATCACTAAAGACAAGCACATTTCATTTCTAGTCTTAAGCTAATCATACTCTGTGCCATTTAAGATGATTACCTGGAAGTTTAGGGGTAAGAGGTAGCATCCATTGTGGTAGAAATGAAAAATGTACACAATTGCGAATTTGACGATAAATTGTTCACATCCCAATTGATCTAAGTTCTGCAAACCATTGATTTGCAATAGACTTTCTAGTGGAGAAGCGGTCTTTTAGAGCCATGAAACTTATGCGACAATCTTGACGTTCTGATGTTCTTTGGCGCCTCTTTGTGCTACTCGATCTTCGTCGTCGGTATTCCTCACCACATGCCCACAGTATCTAAGCTTTTGTGAAGCATATTCTAAATTTCCCAAACAGAAAGTCTGGTTTCTCTTAGGACAACTAGCATCCTTCAAACTCGTTCAGTTGATGGAAATTTGCACTTCTTCAGACTCTGGGCACTGTTAGCAACGTTGGCGAAAGAGATAAAACCACTTGAAATAACAAGCAGAGACAGTATTGTAAAGAAACAAAACTATTATTAAGTATTCCAACATTTCAAGCATTGTTGAGGAATAGAGTGAACGAGAATATATTTTTTTCATAAATTACTTATATTATTGTTCTATTTAATTGTTTTTTTCTATTGTTTCAGGTCTCGAAGCCCAAGTGCAAGACTCCTCAAAGGATCTCTACTGGTTCTGAACCGCGAAAAACTTTGTATAGTTTTTGTTATTTAAAAAAAGAAAAGATAAAAGTGAGACGTGATTATTAAGTGGAATGTATAATAGTACAAACTGATTTATTTAAATTTTAAGTTATCTAGAGTGATGAAGAAAGGACTTCATTAAAAAACGAAAGACGTTTATTTATAAAATAAATGTTCCTTTTCAGAAACAAGAGGTTTTTGATTCGTGGCATATTGCAGAGGTTATAACAATTTATTAAGGTAACAAAGGTAGAAAATGATTCAACTTCTTTTTGTTTTTAGAGTTCAAAATAATAACTATTTTAAAATACCAGATCATTATAGTTTTTATTAGATAATAATCTTATTATCATATGCGAAAATTATTTTTTTAGGATATTTTTTTGCCAAAACACAATACGAAAAAATCGTACTTTTTATGTGTTATTCTGAGACGAATTAATTAGGGGATGGTTTATTTGATTGGATGAAATCGAGTTTAAGTTAAGAATTGTGAACAGACAACTTATTATAGCAACAGGTTGTTTTTTATTCATATCTACAACACAATCCAAAATATTCAATCATGATAGCAAAATTCTCTTGTTGGTGTTTCATGTAATATAGTGAAAATTTTACTGGTAGACACTAAAAAACATGTTGTATTTTTTAGGCTCATAAACACATACCCAGAAAATACTAGGTCTGAAAGGCGAGGCAAAACATATAATAACACCGAATAAACATAATACACCGAACGCTATAAACAAGTCTACTTAGCAACATCACTTTTAAGATAAAATGAGATATTCCACCAAATAGTTAGCGCGTAAATAATAATGTAAATTTTGATGTATTAAGTGTGGCAGAGAATCTTTAAAATAATCCAAGACAAATTGTTTTATATAAACTAAAAAAAAGAGAAATATAATCAGTATAAAATTCATAATGTCCAGGGAATCAACGAGGATGATTACGATCGCCGAATATAGTTTTGCAGAGTAAAACTGCACATATTGAAGTAAAGAGAATCCTCATTGGATGACTGAAACAAACACTAAGCTTTCTCAAATAGGTATTAAATGCATCGGTATGAAGAGTTAAGGATAGAATTAAATTTCCTTTATTTTTCGATGAGCCTTTTACAGGAAAAAGATTTCTTGACAGATTACAACATAAAGTTATTACTGACATTTTTTGAAATGAAAATGATCGTATTTTTTCAAATGCAATCATCTGGTTTTAGCAAGACGGTGCACCTCCGTACTTTGCACTTCCTGTTCAGATTTTGTCGAGCATATATTTTCCTAAGAGATGATTGGTAGAAGAGTAACAGTAGAGTAGCTCCAAGATGTCCTGATCTTATATCACTTGATTTTTTTCTGTGGGGTTACTTTAAATCAAAAGTTTATAGGGATCATCTACAAAATTTACAAGACTTTAAAAATAGAATTAGATTGGAAATTCAACTCTAGAAATGATCCACAATGTTCAAGAACAAATCAAGAACAAAGAGCGGATGCTTTTCCACCGCATCCTGTCAAAACACATAATGTAATATCGCACTATTGGCGATATCAAACGAAAGAGGCGGCATATTGCGATAAAAATTTGAACTAGTGCAAGCAGGATAACAATAATCCTAATCAAATATATACACTAACATAGATCTTAATTAAAATTTCTTTTACAACTGCAGCAGAGCAAAAGGAACTTTCAAAGAAAGGTGTTATTCCCTCTCAATGCCTTCTTAAAGGAAAACACGAAAGAAAAATCAATGAGGAACTGGTGGATGCTAAACTAATGCCTAGCTCGTCTCTTCACACATTCACAGTGATTTCATGTGGGGCACTATTTAAATTAGTCGTTTGCAGACACAAATCGACTAATTTGTTATTAGATATGCCACACAACACAACGTGGCCAGCCTTTAACAAGGCCTCGCCTTATTTTAAAGGTCTTTTTGTGTCTCCTATATATTGCAAAATATGGAGCAGACTAACTTAAATTCCTTTATTTGCCATTGCGTTATTAAAAAAATAAATGGAAGATAATAAATACGGATAATTTTTAGACACAACAATCATTCACCTACAAAGATTATGGTAGCTCTGTTTTGTTTTCCTACTTGCGTCATCAGCTGATCATCTGGCAAAGCGCCCCCTATTGTTTGTTGACATTGCCAATACAATAAAAACCTATAAAAATAGTCCAAGCCATATCCCATATAATTAGGACGTTCCATACTTCAAACTCACTCTGTAGATTCAGAATGAAGAGAAAAAAAAGACTTATTTTAAAAGTATAACAAATCCTTCATTTTTCTTTTTAAAAACGTTTGTATGTGCTTCTGAACAGATTCTACAGCGATTTTATGTCGCGACATTTTTACACTTCAAAATAACTATTATTGCTCCTTCAATTTTAAAATTTCGCAAAAAAGACATAAATATTCTCGTTTCAGGTGTCAGCACATTCAGGTGGCAGCACTATTTTTTCTTCAGTATTAATTGATAAAAAAAAACATGGTCCCAAGCATCTGCACTCAGATTTCAAAATAAATGTTTTTGGCATTAAAAAAGTGGATATTTTCTGTGGACATAGCATATCTGGATATGCTAGGTACTGGTTTATTTTGAATAAACCCCTGAAGGTGATTTTTGTCCATGGGAACAGTGAGTGTTTGAATTGAGATTTTTATACCAAACATACCTGTACAGGTAGCCTATACCAAAAATTTTATTACACCTTAAGTGTATAAGTGAACATAGCATTAAAATTTGAAAGTAGTGGCCAATCGAGTACCTTTTACTGATAGTTTTGTTACACTTTTCCAAGTAGTTTACTCAGCAGAACTACAGTGAAAATAGTAGTTTATAATCCAAATAAGTAACCATCCAAATGCTTATCAGAATATATTACTTGATTATTTACTTTGGAAGTTAACCCCCTCTGTGGCTCAGTGGTAAGAGCGCCTGCCTTTAAACCTAAAGGTCGTGAGTTCGAATCCCACCTGGGTGGAAATTTTCGTTTATTAAAAAAAAAAAAAATTAATAAGTGAAAATAATTTCTATCCTTCTGTGATCGGTACACACCGGAGGGACCGCAGACGTTCGGATACAATTAGCGTCTCTTAGCAAAGACAATGACGTCGACTTTGCTAAGTATCAAGACAATTACTCTACACACACACACACACTACACCTCAAATTGTAAGATTGGCGAATGGATTTAGTGTCCGCAGTCATTTAAACACAAACAAACAACAACAACAATACTTTGGAAGTTACTTTTTGCTTGTGACATTGAGTGTTTAAATTAAGATATTTATACCAAATACACTCGAATTACTTGTCTATACGTAAAGCAAAAAGTTTTTTATGCATTTAATATATGAGTGAATCTAGCATAAAATTTACTCAATTTGATTATTAATCTACTCGCGAGTACGCTTTCAAATAAATTAATAATTTAAAATCTCCACCACAGACTGAATTAACTGAACAAGTAAAATACATTGAAAGGTAAATAAAATCGTACAAACAAAGAAAACAATAGAAAAAAAAATATTTATAAAATCATACCTAAACTACAGTTAATAACAAAATTGAAGGAATAAATAAATGGAGCGGAAGAAACTCTCCCGGTTGGGAAATTTGAACAGTGGAAAGGTTTAACAGCAAACCAATTGCTACATGTAGCCCAAAACTGAGATCAATATAAGTAATATTATTATAAGCATAGTAATTGCCGACGTTCGCTAGGACTCTAAAAAGAAGAACACAAACTAATAAACGCTATACCTAGTAGCAAAATAAACTAATCGAAATGGATGACAAAATAAATGATGATCCAATATAAAAAATCTCACTAAAATACTGCAACAATATAATATTATAAATTTGGTAATAAAATCTCACTTGTGACTGAAAATAACGTCAGGCAGATGTGTAACATTGGAAAAAACACATCTCCTGGCCCTGATGACATCTATAATCTATATAAGATGCCTTAATAATCTTCCAGAGAATATTATCCAATTGATCACCAACATAAGCAATGCATTTTTTACGCTGAGCTATTTTCCAATGCCGTGGAAAGTGGCCAGCACAGTTATGATTCCCAAACAAGGGAAACTTTTTACCAACCCTGAATCGTATAGACCCATTTCTCCACTGAGCTCTCTAGGTAAAGTCTACGAGAGGATCCTTAAGGAAACACTCATAGAATTCCTAGACGCTTACCTCGCTATTCCAAATTACCAATTCGGATTCGGATTCTGGACATTCAACGCGATGCATTGGTTGAAGCAACAACTTTCATTTCACGATCACTTAATGAAAGGAATCACGTCATAGGCATATTCCTAGACGCCCAGAAGGCATTTGATTAGGTCTGGCACATAGGCTGAATCGAAAAACTTTACCTTAGTGGACTGACCACACCGTTCGTTAAATTAATAAATTCCTATCTCTCCAATCGGACGATCAGAATCAAAGTTAGCGACATCCTATCTACACCCTTTACTCCAAAAGCTGGAGTATCTAAGGGCTTAATTCTTGCTCCAATAATATACACAGTCTACAATAGTGACATCACCGCTCGCAGCATAGATCAGAAACCCTTTTTCTGTACGCTGAGTACACTGCACTCCTCATGTCAGGACCACACAGAGAGCGTAGACAATTGTCTTTATTCGAAAGAGCACAAAATTACTTAGACCAAGTTGTTAGGAGGTGCAATAAATAGAGAGTGACCATGAATCCCTCCAGAACACAACTATAATAATCTTATTCAAATACTTAAATTGTCGCGATATTAATGGCTGAATAACTCTGATGTTAGGAGAGGACATTATTCTCAGAAACTCGATTTTCTATTTACTCGATATTTTCTTTCTCTAGACAGGGTAAATAAGAGGTTTAAAGTCCTGGCAGTGCTAGCCGGTAAATTGGGGAGGACGCCATCTAAAACATTATTGCACATTCACAAAATCTTTATGAGAGCAATTATCGAATACAAGGCATGCGTCTACGCATCTCTTAATAACACCTACCAAATTAATTGCCATTTTGTCCACCGAAACGAAATTCCTTAGATTCATCAGCACACATATAACAAGTAGCTAATCTGACACCTATTAAGGACAGAATCCTATCCATCAGGAGGAGGTATGTCCTTCGAACTACCAGAGGCTTGAATAATCGAGTCTCAAACAAAACAAACACTAAAGACGCCTTGCAATCGCCGAGGGCAAATACTCACCAGGGATTTTAGAAAATAGTTCCGTTCCCTTCAGCTAAACTTCTACACAACACTGGACACGAACTTTCTGATCAGTATTTTGATATTCTAGATTCCCCATTAAATATCACAGCTAACAACTATATACCAAAAATGCTGATTAAGAGCCGTTTCTAGTATGACTGATAACCCCTGAAGTACCTTCTTTGACATTTTTGGGCTTTCTTCACTAATAATTCTTCTTGTGGACTTCATCATAACATATCGTCCACACACATACGCCAACTTCTGAATCCCAGCCTTTTAGCAATCCACTACATCTCCACAAGACAGCATCAATCATCACGTTTGTCACGCCCCCATTACTCCGTAAAAAAAGGAGTACCCCTTCCTTGAAGAGGCGACAGCCTAAACAAGGTAAAAACTTTGGATCCAATGGTTTCCTCATTCAGTTCATTCCGGCAGCTTGTCATATCATAGCTTGATATTTTTTCCTTTGGTTGTTTTCGATATTAAGATCTTATAGAGACCCAGATGGCCACTAATCCAGCAACCTCTTTGCTCCAACCTCTTACGTTCTAACCATCTTACGAAATCTTAATTGTAGGTTAATATAAGCTGAAATCATTTTATGAATACTTTTAATTTTTGTTGTTGTTTGAAAGGACCAATAAAGATTTATATTAAATTGCCGAATAATGTCAGTATTCTAAAATGTACAGTACTGTAAAATGAAAGGCAGGAGTTGATTAAATGTGCCACAAGAAAAGAGAACTGTTTTTATGATAAATAGAAAATATATGAAGATGATACTAAAGAAATAAAAACATAATTTTCATTAGAAAGAACAGACTTTCAAATCAGATGTCATATTATCGGATGTGCTGTATTAACTTGATATTACACAATCACAGCTTTTTACAATTATTATGTTAAGTATGAAAGCCATTTTTCAAATTAAATTCGTTGTACTTACTTTTTTATTTGAGCTCTACGATTCTTAATTTTAGCTAATTTTTTAATAAAAACTATAATATTTGTTTTGTTAATGTTGCTAAGGCTGTTGTAAGGCTGAATGGTTTTGTGAATACTTCTATCACTTAAAAGTTACCAGACAGATAATTGGATATTATCCACAAGTAAAGGGTATAACTGTTCATTTCCAAAATATGTAGATAAAGTGTGCCCTTGTACTAAATTATAAAGTTTGTATATGCCATTGAATCAAGAATTAATTTGACCTGTGTATTATTTTTCAGCTGTGCTGTATTAAAATATGTAAATATGCCCATGTTACTTACGTAATAAAAAATTGAGAATATATTTTTTGCATTTTTTAATAAATTACCTTCACCTAATATCATCCTAGGACTGAGTAGGAATAATACAAGAATGTACTTAACTTTACCATCAAAATAGTAAGAGCTTTGATGGTATACCAGGCAAATATCGAACAAAGTAATTAATTAAATCTTGCCCAAGTACTTTCTATCAATAGATCATCCTCAGGGGCATCTGAAATAAGCCAAGAAACGTTTTTTTTATAAAAAAGAAAATTAATTCACTTCGATAAAAAACTTAGTTTGTGGTTGAAAAAAGTTTCATGTGATAAACGTTTATAGACTTACTTCGTCAGTTGTGGCCTATCCGACATGAGCAGAATGTCATACATGTAAATTTGGACATAACAATACAATACACAAAGACGAACAAACACATTAAAATTTTTTTAAAAATGGAGAAGCTACATTATGTAGAAGCCGGAGACAGAATGGCTCCCGGTCTGGCGGAAATATTGAGATGACATGTGACAAATGACAGCTTGTAAAGGGCAGTTACAATGGATATGTGATCTCCACCTTTCAAAATT